GAGGAGGTTGGCAGGGACTCGGCTGATGGTGAAGAGGAGGAGGCTGATGAGGATGAGTACTAAGAAACACCTGTTTTTGAAGAAATTGAACCTCAGATCAAACAAACTCTGTCATCTGACTCAACTGGTCCCAAGTGCCTGGAGGTCCCACAGGATTGTCCTGAACTGCCACGCTACTGTTTGACCTACTACTCCTTTTCTGCTTGCATAGTCTATGTGCTCCTAATGCACTTCTGTAGCATGGGTGTCTTGAGCTTTATCACACTGCTGTGTATCCAAGAGTGAAGCTGACTAAGTGCCTGGCTTTGGGTTGGGGTCATCTTCTGCTTGGGAAGAGTCTCCTGGTAGTCCAGGGCAGTGTTGCAAGCTGCCTGCTTTGGTTTAAATGACATTTTTACTCTGGCTCTTACTGCAAAAGCACCTTTTTCAATTAGAAATGTACCAGTACACTTCTATGCAACTGCCTTTTGTATTTGAATAACATTTTGAATAAATACTTTTTTTCTCCAAAGTCATAACTTTAGTCTTGATTTTTCTTTACAGTTCCCACTTGCCCTTTCTCTAAGATAGCATTTGAAGATGTGCTTCTGGCTGGACCAACACTGAGGATCCCAAAGCAGGGCTACTGCTATGAGGGAAATGTCCTCTGTTGTGCAGGGACTTGTCTGGCTCCAGCTGGATGCTGTTTATGGATGGCTGGATGCCAGGTAGGAGCAGTCAGGGCATCACAGAATCCTTGGGGTTGGAAGGGATCCCTGGAGATCATGGTGTCCAGCCCTCTTGCAGGAGGAGATGACCCAGAGCAGTGTTCTGGATCATGTCCAGATGGAATTGGAAGGGATTGTCCTTCCAGGGAAGCAGATACCTGGCTCAGGAGCACCTTCCTGGTGGGTCTCTGGTGAAGTCTGGAGGTGCTGGCCTGGCTTTACCTGAGTGGATCCTGGTGCCTGGGGCAGCAGAGTGGCTCTGAGCAGGGGCTCTTGGGCATCTGCAGCTACTGGGGACATGAAACCAGGACCCTGCAGGTGGGGGGCAGAGGTTCTCCAAGCAGTGTGGTGGTCAGAGAAGGAAAAACCATGAAGTTCCTGGTGCTATGATAGGCTCACAAACACTCCCTTGCCCTAGGGGATGGGCAAGAGGCTTGCCCCAATGCTTGCTTGGGACTCTAGGCTCTCCTCAGGGCAATAGCCTTAGAGGCAACACTGCACCCTTCTGTCTACTCTCTATTCCTGGATCTACCTGTGCTTGGTGGCTGTAAGCAGAAACAGAGCTTCCTCTTGCTCTGGTTTTTTAAGATATAAGGTGCTGCTTCCAGGAATCTGGAGCCTCAGGAAGGGGACCACCCTCTTCCCTGGGCATTGTGGGATGTTCTCCAGGGTGATGCATTGGCTGGTGCCTGGGGATGATTAGAGGGTTGTGAAGATGCAGAAGCATTACCATGCCCAGGCAGAGGGTAGAAGGAGCTGCAGCTCCCTGGTGGCTGCTGACTGCTTCAAAAGCCAGGAGGACATTTTAACAGCAGGATCAGGGGGCAGGTAGAGTCTTAGGAACATCTCTGATGCTAAAACATGGGGCCTGTCCCACAGCTCACCTGGCTGTATGGGGCTCCCCTCTCAGGCTGGTCCTGGGGGTTAGAAAGCAGCTCCTGCCCCGTGTGATGGGTTCTCTCCTTCAACTCCAGCTCTGTGGTGGTGATGGATGCCCTGGAGGTGGGGTATACCTGGTGTCCCTCCACTATGGGACAAGCTCTACCCAAAGCTGCTGGTCTGAGGGCATCTCCTCTCACCTATCCCAGGCAGTTGCCTTTCCAGCCCCTTCATTCCTGGAGACTTGGCCAAGCCATGTCCTGGGCTGCCAGCTGGCTGTGCCTACACCATGTCCCATAGCACCGACTTTAACTCTCCCAGGGTGACTGCCCCATTTGGAGCTGTTAATGACTTGACCATGCTTGCTAGAGAAGCAAGGACTTATGACTCCATTCCCATGGTCAACATGCAGGGACCTTTCCAGTCATGGTTGCCACCGTTCCAAGGTTGTTTAACTCTCTGCAGATGGCCAGGGCTGGAAGCCCTTGGTTAAATCCTCAGCAAACGTGAGCGCAGTGCAGTCTCCTCAGGGTGGACACAGGCTGAGAGTTGCTTGGAGGGAAGGAACGTGATCCCCGTGCTCTGGCAGCTTGGAAAGCCATCAGCACATTGCTGGGGCTGATGTAATTTCAACAGTCATTTATTGCTGAAATCCATTACTTTGGCACATGCATCAGTGCAGCCCTGCTCCAGCACCTCCCACGACTGCAGCTTTGTAAGGGAGTGAAAGGAAAGGTTTTCCTTGTGTAAAGGGAAGAGCAGTCATTCCTTGATGGTCATGAAGGATGCCTTGTCCCCTCTCCACGTGGCACAGCCCCCAGATCTGCTCCCCAAAGCAGTGCCCGCTGCAAGGCCATGCTGCAGCTCAGCTTCTCCTGCCACAGCAAGGCCAGTCCTGAGCTCTGCAGATAATGACACGTGGGGCAGCCCACAGGAGCGGGGTTCTTGGGATGTCACTGTCATCCCCTCTGGGCTGAGCTGAGGGCCATCATGCCCTCAGATAGCAGGGATGCTGCTGCTCTTGCAAGGGCATGAGCGGAGTTTTCTGCAGCTCATGAGATCCAGGACAGCCATTCTAGCCTGTGTCTCCTGCAGGGAGGCAGGAGCCCACGTACTGCTCCAGTCCTGGACCAGAAAAGCAAGCAATTGAAGGGCCAGCTTCTAGCCAAAGCAAACCTTACTCTGCTCCTGGTCCCTCAGCCAAGCAGGACAGGCACCTGCCCAAGCTGCCTGCACCTGCCCAGAGCCTTTTGTTTCTGCTTTGTCTCCTCTCTATGCTGGGGAAAGCATAGAGATCTCCTGGGGGTCTTCAACACCTGAAGCAGCTCCTTTGCAGCCAAGCATGCCCAAGTGCCACCACAAAGCTGCATCGGGAGGAGCCAGGAACCTCAAGGAAGACCCTCAGGAACATATTGTCTCTCCCATATTGTCTCTGCACCACCAGCCACACTCCCCTATGCTCCTTAGCTCCCCAAGGCCAAGGGCAGCTCAAGGTGAGCCAGCCCCTGGGAGCTCTGTTGACCTTGGGAGGTTGCCACCCCCAGGAGCCAGCTGAGTAATGGCAAGTGCAGACAGGCTTTAATGTATAATGATCCCCCCACCCTTGCCTCAGGTTGTTTAAACTTTCCTCCAGTGCAACCCAGAGCCAACATTGTCAGCCTTTCAATTACAGGCTGACACGAGATCCAGAGTCTCTGCTGCATCTCAGCCAGCTCATTTTCTTGGAGCACTTGCTGGGAAGGAGACTCCCAGATGGAGAAATAACCTGCTCCAGTTCAGGGAGCAGATCTGCAAAGATTGAGTTAAATCCCCCCCTCCTTTTTCAGCTCATTAGCCCTTTGCATGGATTCATGCATCCTGCCCTAGAGAAGTCCTACCTCGGGCTAACTGAGTAGCACAAGAGAAGAAAAAAATTAATTAGGAGACCACTGCTTGCTTTATAGCCAGGAACAAACTTGGCTATGGGTCACATGCTTTTACAGGGGGCTGACAGACAGCTGAAGTATTCAAATTCCCCCTTCCAGACTTCAATTAGACTTCCAGGGAGACTGAGCACTGGCAGCCCTACATGGATTGCTTTAGCAGGGCTCTGGACAGGGAGGGGATGGGAGAAACCTGATCCTGCTCCATCTCAGGGCAGCCAGCTGCATGGAAAACCCAGAGCTGACGGCACCTCTGCACATGAGAGGCCAGGGGCAGCCAGAGGCCCCATGGGACAGGTCCTCACTGCTCATCTTGGCACTTCTCCCCAGGGCAGAGGAGTCACATCACCATCAGCCACCCTAAATCACAGGGTCCTGCCCAGCCTGGGACTGATCTACTCCCAGAGGGAGTGATACAGCCACATCAGAGTGGCCAGGAAGGCCCCAGGGTAGGATTGAAGTGGTCATCAAAATATAAGAGATCCCCAAGAGTCAGGTTGGTGGAACAACAAGACAGGACAAGGAGAGGCTTTGCTGGACATCATGTATTGGACAAATTTTCATCTATACATACAAAAGCTTTGAACCACAAGTCACTTCTGGCCAAGCCAGAGTTTCCAAGCCATATTTAGACAGAGCCTGCTATTCTCTTCTCTGGAGAGAATGGCCAAACCAGAATATCAGACGCTTTATAACCCAGCTGCCTTCCCAGAGATAAAAGATTTACTCCTCCTCTCCAAAGTCCCTGCCAACCTCCTCATAATCCTTCTCCAGAGCTGCCAGGTCTTCCCTGGCCTCCGAAAACTCCCCCTCCTCCATGCCCTCCCCCACGTACCAGTGCACGAAGGCCCTCTTGGCGTACATCAGGTCAAACTTGTGGTCCAGGCGGGCCCAGGCCTCCGCGATGGCCGTCGTGTTGCTCAGCATGCACACAGCTCGCTGCACCTTGGCCAGGTCTCCCCCGGGCACCACCGTGGGCGGCTGGTAGTTGATGCCCACCTTGAAGCCCGTGGGGCACCAGTCCACAAACTGGATGGAGCGACGCGTCTTGATGGCCGCGATGGCCGCGTTCACGTCCTTGGGCACCACGTCGCCGCGGTACAGCAGGCAGCAGGCCATGTACTTGCCCCGGCGCGGGTCGCATTTCACCATCTGGTTGGAGAACTCAAAGCAAGCATTGGTGATCTCCGGCACCGACAGCTGCTCGTGGTAGGCTTTCTCCGACGAGATGATGGGAGCATAGGTGGTGAGCGGGAAGTGTATCCGTGGGTAAGGCACCAGGTTGGTCTGGAATTCAATCAAGTCGACGTTCAAGGCCCCGTTAAATCGCAGCGAGGCGGTGACAGATGAGACAATCTGCCCAATGAGCCTGTTGAGGTTGGTGTAGGTGGGACGCTCAATGTCCAGGTTGCGGTTGCAGATGTCATAGATGGCCTCGTTGTCCACCATGAAGGAGCAGTCCGAGTGCTCCAGGGTGGTGTGGGTGGTGAGGATGGAGTTGTAGGGCTCCACCACAGCTGTGGAGACCTGTGGGGCTGGATACACAGAGAACTCCAGCTTGGACTTCTTGCTGTACTCCACAGAGAGCCGCTCCATGAGGAGGGAGGTGAAGCCAGAGCCTGTGCCTCCCCCAAAGCTATGGAAGACCAGGAACCCTTGGAGACCATCACACTGGTCAGTCTGCAGCACCAAGGAAAGAGTCAGCAAAACCAAGTTATTGACATGACTCCAGTCTCACTGCACTTTTTAACCTCAAATGAGGCCTAAGGGCTGGGCTTCCCCATCAGCTTTAAGACCACACTGCTCTACTGCTCATATGCACCCTCCACTGCTCACCTAGCACTTTCTGTTAGACAGAGACAGAAACCTGCCACCTCTTAGAGACCTTGGTTTTAGCAGGAGAGAGGCCTGTGGACAGTTTGGCCTAGATGGCTTCAAGTATAATGAGCTGAGAACAGGAAAAACTGTAAGGCCACTAAGAGGATATATCCAGAGCAAGACCCTTAGTGTTGTTCTAAGGCTTCCAGAAGTCTGTGTGCATGGAAAGCTCCTGCTCCAAGGCCAAATGCATGGACATGAGGCACCTGAGAGGAGATAACAGCCCAAAACTGGGAGGCCACATCACTAAGTTGAAACCAGGCACTTTAGGCACCCCTTTCTTTTCCCTCAAGTCCCAACCAGCAAGTTACTCCCCTCCCACCATGGCCATCCCATCCTGTTGTCCCATCAGTGACACTCAACTCAAGTCCCAACCAGCAAGTTACACCCTTCCCACCATGGCCATCCCATCCTGTTGTCCCAGCAGTGACACACTCAACCCAACAGACTTCCATGCAGCTATGCCCATGCTGCCTCGC